ACCTATCAGAAACTGATTACATCGGAATATATGGTTTCTGATAGGTTGAAATCTTAATATCTAATTCTTATTCCTCTATTGTGCGCAGGCCCTAACTTTCTATTGAATTATCAGTAGGGCCTAAAGGCCTGAGCATAATAGAAGGACAGAAATTAGATATTAAAATTTCAACCTATCAGAAACTGATTACATCAGAATACACGGTTTTTGATAGGTTGAAATCTTAATATTTAATTCTTGTTTCTCTATTGTGCGCAAGCCCTTAAATACACAATAATGTGCACGGAAATGGAATAGAAGTTGTTTACAATTGGTATACAACGAATTTAGAAATTTTAGAATACAGAGTGCCAGAGAGAAGCAAAAAAAAACAGAAAATATCGTTTTATCACGTTACAGAGAAGCTTGAAAAAAAAAGAAACTAATTTATAAAACTGGAAAGAAATATAATCCTTTTTCTTTATTAAACGGATGGTTATAGAGAAATTTTATTTTTTATTCACACAAACATGATATAATTATTTCTTCTTGTAGAAAAAATAAAGATACCGATATGTCTACTCTGTTGACAGAAAATAACTTCGAGTGTCGGTTAGTTTTATCTGTTTTATGTTTGCAATAAAATAAAGTAAATAACAGAAATGTGTGGTTATGAAAGATAAATTTGCTTAAAAAATTGTTATATTCTATTATAATACATTTAAATAAAATATGTAAAAAAAAATACTTTAATAATGATTTGATATTTTATTTAGGGTGAGTTCTGTGCTAAATAAGAACGTTCAATCTTATGGAAAAATGTATATGTTTGATAATTGCAGTGAAACATGTTGGAATTCTAATGCAGTAGGTAACCAAGTTTTATTATGAATTAGTTCTTCATATACTTGGCTATATATTTTAATACGACAAACATATAATATAACATATAATATATATAACAGGGAAGTCCACAGTGGGTTCTTATTAACTTTGAAGAAGAATGCAGTCTCTCCAGTTTTGAGGTAGAATTCCAAGGTGGATTCGCTGGAAAAAATTGTCATATAGAGGCTGGTAATGACAAAAAGGAACTAATAGTTGTTGAATCTTTTTCTCCCGAAGATAAGAACAAGCTACAGCGATTTAACTTAAAAAATCAGGTCAGAGCCAAAGTTTTTAAATTTGTATTTAATGAAAGCACTGATTTCTTTGGCAGGATCATCATATACAATTTGTCATTGTACTCGTGATATCCATTTTAATGTCTTAATTATAATTTTATACATTACAACAAGTGTTTATATAAATACAATCTTTGTAACTTTGTAACGTTATTTTAATAAAATTTATATTACAATTTATTGTTTGTAAATTATAATAGAATTTTTATAAATGTATATCTAATTATTTTATAGATGTATATCTAATTAATTTAATCATATAAAGATATTTTGGGCTACACGAAGATGGTTATGCACAACACATTTTTTCTAATTAAAATAGTTTATTTTATATAAAATTATTTATTCTACTTAAAATAGTTTATATTATATAAAATAGTTTATTCTATTCGTAATATAATTAAGTACAATATTAATATTATGAATCTTAAATGTTAAATGCTTGATAAAAACGATTATTTCAACATTAAGAGAAACTTATCATATGATTTTTTTCATTGAGCCTCGCTTTGGATTGGTTGAGCACTGGGTGGTCGAACTGAAAAAAGAATCACATAAATATTTTTGATACCATTTGCTTCCATCTGCTATGCTTATATTTTATTAGTCTTACTTGCGCAGGATAGAGGTTGAAATTTTATATCGTCAACAGCAAAGCCTCCGTTACTGGCGCTTCCCTCAAGAATAAGTCGATATGGAGTTCGTGCTTCAATTGCCACTTGTGCTGCCATCCATACCGGTCGTGGATTATTTAATCCTTTGGCTGTCAATGACCATAACTACAATAATGAAATTAAAGGTTTAGAAAAAAATGAACCAAAATAAACCACATCTCTGTTCCATAAAAAATGCTTGTTCCATGCATTTAATATTAAAATGGAAATTAAAATTTGTTTTATACTAGAGAGCTCAAAAGAATATACAATAAGTAATATTTTAAATATTATATTCAGTTTTATATGTTCATTCGTACTGGTTGCTCCTGTTCGCCTTCATTCTCTCCTTCAGTCTCTTCGGTAGGCATTTTGATCACTCGTAGAGTAGTGGACTCCTCCACGCCAAAAGCGGCAAACCAAAAAGTGAAACATACAAACTCTTCATCGGGCGAGGCATTGATGATAGGCGATTGTAATTGAACCTTCGTTGATTCTTTATTTGTTGTAAAGATGTCAAAGAATACAAAATCGCCAGGCGCACCAAAAGTTCTGTCCAATAATTGAGCCGGTCGATGGGCCTGAAACGCACGCTGCCACATCACAGCACGGTCGTTATCGGAAATAGTTATGTTCTCCCATCCGCATAAATCCTTCTCAAAGCTACAATCTTCTGGGCGAGCGACTGCACTCGCTGGTTTCACTATATGTAAATGTAAAACATAAATTTAATGTATAAAATTAGGTAAGAGAGAATAGTACTGTACTCCGAAAGGAATAAATATTTATTTCAGAAGAAAGAAATAATAAATGGAAAATATATTTACCACTGCAATTTCCAGTATAAAAAGAGATATCATCAATTCCTATGCTACCAGTAGCTCTGTTCGGACCCCAAGTGCCTTCGAATACGATATTAAAGTCTGTGTTTTGATTGATGTTAGCTTGAGCATAGTTCCATGTGGGACCTTGATTATTGTACAATTGCCATATAGGTTTAGCTTTCGAACTATCACCCTCTGCTTGCATGTATAATCGCAAAACTCCTATAAAATTAAAAATTTGCTCTCATTGTATCGGTAAATTGCATTTATTTTGAAAGGAATCAGACTAACAACAATCCATTCTATTGAACTGAATTTTTAGATTCTCTATTTTTTTTTAAAGATAATACCATTTGAATCAATTAAGATTAAGAAATCTTGTAATAAAATCATTAAATAAGGAAACATGAAATCTAAATCATAAAAAGTTACAAAATTAATTATTCATTTCAAAGATAAAATATTCGATCAAACTAATAATTTTTTTTTAAACTCTACCTAAACTAGGTCCTGTGGAATCAATGAAGGGCTCGAACATAAAGTACCAAAATGTAATGCAGAGCGGTTCTTCGGAAGCCTTCATCTGTCGACTGACCAGCTGAGCGGTACCACCTCCAGATGATCGCGGACCACCTCGAAGACGTCCAAGGCCCAAAAAATATTCGTTGCGTCGGTTAACTGTGTGTCCACTGCTGTACGGTTTCCTTTGATTCCTCGGGCCTAACACCTGAGTAGATACCCTTTCCCATTCGACACGATCTGGATCTCGCGAGTTGATCCATTCACATTCATCAATTTCAAAGGTGCAATCCCGCGATGTCGGAGCAGCTACTTGAGGTGAAACTATCAAATCAATAAAGGGATTAAAAATCGGTTTATGAAGTCAAGTACTGATCGATGTAATGAAGCAAGAGACGAAGTATTAGTTTAATGTGAAAACGATACATAATATTTACTCTCTCAAAGCGTCCTAGGTTCGATTCCGAATTTTATCTCATACGTTAACTTTTCAAATTTTATTAAGGCATCGTTTATTTTGTCAAATTATAGGTAAGAAAACAAAGGAGATAATACTGTGACTTATAATTGTTGCCTACTGATTACCGAGAGTCGAGACAATTGCAAGACATAGGCAAATGTTTCAACTGTCGTCAGTTAGCAAACTTAAATCTATTTTGTGTGTCATAATGTTAGCTTTCTTGTTTCCTTATTTATAATGCGATAAGAAAACAATTTTAAGCAGAAAATTTGAAAAGTCAATATATGGGATAGACTTCAGAATCGAATGAGAAATGCTTCGAGAGATTAAATACAAATCAGCCATTTTAATATTAAGCTAACACTTTTAAAGCAGATTTAGATCTTAAGATGTGTTTGGAGAGAAATATGATGAGACTGCTTTATATACAATATCGTTCATAAATTTGGAAACACTTGCGATTTTCTCGCTTTTTACATACAAGGTATCTTGGTGAAAATAATCGTAGAGAAGTTTTTGTATTTTAAAAAGAAAAAATAGAGGTTTTTTTTCTAAAGTAACAAATTTTGTCTATACGAAATTTAGTTCCTGAATTAAACTTTAATTGAATTAATTTTTAACATTAAAATTTCCAGTGAGGGCTCGCGTTCTTCGCGGCTTTGTGGGTTGGGCTATCGACCGGGCGCGTCTCCAGGTGGCGGATCGGAGGACGTTCGGAGGGAGTATCAGTCTCCCGGGTGTAAAACCCTGCATGAGATTAAGAGTCCCTCCGCACAGTGGCTATAAACGGTCCCCCAGATATAAAATCTTACGCGAGGCCGAGGGCCGCTGCCGCGGACTACCTCCCCCCCCCCCCCCCCCCCCC